TTAAGAGATCTATCAGTAAAAGCCAAAACAAACCAAAAAATAACTAATTGGTATTATTAAAATTCGAACCACCTACACACAAAATCCACAAAAAAATAAAAACCAACCCAAAGACACACCAAAAAACAAAGCAAAGCCACGAAAACAAATAAAAAAGAAGAAATATTTTTGCATATTTTCACCTTTAAAATACAAAAACGCTTGGCAGGCTAAGCCATCTTTTCTGGTATTTAGGCCAACACAAAAAAAAACATACAAAAATAAAAAGAGGCTCTGGCCAAATTAGCACTTAAAGTCCAGCAAATGTAGAAATCTCGATCGCACCTGAACATGAAATGCAAACCGTAAAAAAAAAAAAACGAAAACTCAAAACAATTTCCAATTGGAACACTAAGGTGTGGCTAAGAGGGAGGGGGGGTCTACATATAGCTAAAGGTGCCAATTAATTGGGTCTTGCACTCAGGTTTCGATTCGTTTCGTTTTGGTTTCGTTTGGGCCATGTTTTTAATGAATTTTTTTTTTTTGGTTTCTCTCTCCTGTTTTCACGTTTTTGTTTTAATGCGTTGAATCGATTCTTCAATTATGGCAATTAGCCAACAATTTCGCTTTGCATGTGCCACTAGCCACTCGCCACTCGGCACTCGCCCCTCGTCACTCTGCCACTCGCCCCTTGGTCGCTCCACCACTCGCCACTCTGCACTTTTCAAAGAAAAACGCAGCAAAAAGGCCAAAACCCCAATCAGTTTCGGTTTCAGCCATATCTTGGCTTGGCTACATATATACCCACCTCCGCCCCCCTTTTACATTCAAGTCAATTAACATTTATCGCTTGGCTGACTCGCTGAACTTTTTCAACTAATTTTCGCCATTTAAGGGGCCATTGATCTATGGATGATATCTACATATATATAAAAATAAAGATATATTCAAGTTTCTGGGTAGCGATTGATGAAATCCTTAACTTATATAATCGCACACACCTCCGTTAGAAAAAGTATGTTTACACTAAGAGAGATAGAGACCCAGAAAATGACTCAATTTATTCACCAATTTAATCGTTACCCCTTCGTGAGTCAGTTCGGATCATTAATCAAAACAAAAAAAGAGCCAAGAGTGTGTTAAACAAAAATAAACTGCATTCATAATAAGTTGGCTTACGAACGAAAATGAAGCCACCGGACAGGTTGGAGCTCAGCCTGCCCCACGCTGCGTATACGTAATGTGCTCGATCTCTAGCTGTATGGGTGCCTTGTATCCGTACCTGCACTGCATGGATATCGATCTCACGCCATTGGGATGCCAGGCCAGGCTAGGCCAGTCCCCAAGCCAACTTGCCTGACATATTTGGGTTGAATGTTAACAGAAAAAAAAAAAATAAGCGAGGAAAACAAAAGCCAAGCTTAAGAGCCAACAAACAACACATACTCGAAACTCAAAACTTAAAACTCAAAAAAGCTCATGAATGCCTGACCACAGCAAAATCGGCAAATGTCGCAATTAACATATATCTTATATGTGTATGTGTGTGTGCAAGTACAGAGGCATGGGCATGCCTATGAATAGTTAGAGGGGGTCGTATAGACAACAGGCTCTGAGGTCAGAGAAAAACAATTGAATTCTAGAAATGAATACGAGACTGTTGTTAGTCACTTAAGTTAGGCCAAAGTAGCTATGATTAACATAAATATAAAATGTGATGACTTCCTAGAATGTATATAGGTTATTAGGTAAGTTAGGGGACAACCTCTCTTGAGCGGACACCTTAAAAGCCTTATAGACTATATATAGAAGGGTGGAATAATTTTTTAAAAAATATTTAGAAGCTATTTGAAGCTCTTTTAACTTAAGAAACAAGTAATTCTTTAAAATGTTTAAAACTAAGGCTAACAAAAGCATATCCTCTCTTAAGCGGACAATTTAAAATCGTATCCTCTCTTAAGCGGACAGTGAAAAAGACTCCTGAAGTATACAAATTATAGAAATAATTTTACAAAAATATTTAGAAATTATATTTGGATGCTCTTAAAAAAATTTAATCAAGTAATTTTATAAAATACCTAAGCCCTAACACACCCTCTCTTGAGCGGACAACTTAAAATCACATCCTCTCTTAAGCGGACAGTTAAAAAGACTCCTGAATTATACAAAAGACTGAAGAATAATTTTATAACAAATATTTAAAAGCTATATTGAAGCTCTTAAAACTAAATAATGAAGTATTTCTATAAAATATCTAAACCCCAAAAAACACCCTCTCTTAAGCGGACACACATAAACATATCCACACATAACCCAAGCTATCCTCGACCTAACAAAGATTTGTTTTATGTGACATTTCAATTAGCAGAGTGTCAAGACCTGACATCAGCATAAAAACAGTTCAACAATTGTTGAATCACAGAAACATACGTACAAGCCTCCAACACTCACTCAGAAACAATGGAAAGATAAACACCGAAAGATATATGTGATACATGGCCAGATATATGGATATACATATATATATGTATCTCTGGTGCAGTCAGTCACCTGCTGCTAATCACCAATGCCACGCATTCCAACCGATTAAATGCCAACCATTCCAGTACGGGATCCATAGAAATCGATCAGCCCCCAACCCAGACGGTGGACAGTTAATGATACAAGAGTGGTATAGTGTGGTTCAGTGGCTGGATGACTGACTGAATTGATTGGCATGATTGAATGATTGAATGATTGAATGTTTAAAGGCCTGCAGTGCCATTGCAAGTGCCTAGCTGGCTGGCAATTTGGGTCGAGAGAGAGACTAGAGAGACTCTAGCTTGATTACCATTAGAACTGTCCAAGAGTTGACATAACCATGGCCACCATGCCATAGACTCACCATAAGCGAATGTTGCGCAAGACGGTACCGTTGATGTTGTTGGCATTCTGGTGGCTGATGCAACCTGTTGGCCAAAAAGATCTTGGCCAATTCCAAGCCATGTTCATTATCGATCGAAAAGTATCTAAAAAAAATAAATGCTGATTAACATTTATAAATTTTAAAATATTAAAAAAAATATAAATATACACTAACATACCAAATACCATATAAAACTCTTCACTTACACATCCATTTCTTGAGGAGATCGGCAAATAATTTCTCTCCAGTTTGGATTTCCATTTGTACTCCATAATGTTTTGTTTGGTTCCGGCGTTTGTTTGTCTAATTACGCAACAAGGCAACAGCAGCGGATGCAGTGCCGCTGCATTTTGTGGTTTGACCAAAAAGCGATTCCAATTCCGATTCCCCATACCCCATGAGGCACCTATGTTTGTATGGCTCTATAAGGCGGGCGGCGGGCAAGCCCCGTTTCCGCATGTCAACAAACTTCTCCGGCTGTGCACACATCAGTGAAATTTTTACGAAAAAGGAAAGAGGTTGGGGGATCCACCGGAACCTCAAAAGTGTCCGCTCGAGTAACTGCACCCACCTGGAATTGCACTGAAAGAAACTGAAATTAGTTTTTAAACGAAATATGTAGGGAAAGAGGCTCTTAAATATATTTTAAAACAACTTAGGACCTTAAATATGATAGTTTTCTTTATAAAGTTATAGTTTTTATCTTAAAAATATTTTTAAATATTTTCTAAACATTTTATTAAAGCCAAAGCATTGCAATTTATGAGGTTTTATCTTTGCCAAACTTCTCTTAAGAAAAATCTTTCTAACTCTTAAATTTCTTATAAAAATTAACAAATTTTTTATTTTTATAATCTTAATATATTATATAGCTATAAACTTTATAAAAATTCTTTTTGAAAAGTGCATAAAAAAGAGCAAATATTGGGCAACAACCAAAGAAGCTATGGCATAGATCATGGACTTGCTCCAACTGCAGTGTCCAACTTTTACTTTGGTTCATCCTATCCAGATACTAAAGAAGAGCTGCCGGTGAAGTCAGAGGAGGAGTTGGGGGGATTCCCCCTCTTCTGGTAACGCGTGCAGTGAAAATCCGAGAAGCACGTAGACATAATTTATTGCCAAATGCATGGAAGACTCGCGCTGGACACGCCTCGGTGGCCACGTTCGTGTGTCGTGTCCATGCCAGTGGATAGATATATATGTATGGATATAGATATATGCCTCCACTCTTACCCACTACCCACTTATAATATATATATACCCAGAAACCCCTTTCCCTTTGCCCAAGTGCTTGGAACATTTCGATTTCTTTCTATTTGAGGGCTATCTGAGGAGGGAGTTGAAATTGTAAACAAAAAAAAGAAAAACAAAAAAAAACTAGCTTAAAAATGTGCAATAATTAAAGCATATTAAATGCAGAAACAACAAATATATCAAATGGAAAGATAGAAAAATATTGCAAGGCAAGCGTAAAGTTGTTACCCGATGCGTCGGCAGTCTTAACGAGGCTTAATTAAAGTGAAAATGCCAAAAGATCGACATGGATATGGGTATATGGATATGGATAGAGTCATGGATATATATCTATTTCTGTAGAGTTGCGAAAAGTGCAATGTATATGGTTACTCAACCTGGATGGGGGTTTTGGATGGGTTAGGATCATAAAAGATCATCTTAAGGGGATGAGTTAGGATCATAAAAGGGAGATATAGGATATAAATTAAATATAAATTAGGGCTTTTATAAGTTTTATAAGTTAGGGACTTTCTCTTGGTATTAAACTATATTTAATATTAAAAATCTCTTCAAGTGTTAATCAAAAATAAATTATATTAAAGCGTTAGGTATATAGTTCACAAAGATCACATGATCTACAAGCTACAAGGTTGTCCCCAAAAGGTGTTAATTAAATAAGGAACTAATATAATACAAGCCATTATAATAATACATGTTTGTTGGAAGAAAATTGAAGAAAATTCTTAATACAAACAAGCTTAAATTATTAAGTAAACTAAGTAGAGAAAATTAACACAGGAATTATGATTAATAATTATATAAAAAACTTTAAATATTTGTTTCAAATTTACCAATTTTCTTGATAAATCCCTTCCAGCAATGTCATAATGGAGCCAATGACCATGCTGGTATTGGCCTTCCAGCTGCTGGCCCTCTTCTCGATCGCCGGCGCGCTGCTCATCTATCTGATCTGCAAGGTGCGGGAGGACAGTGCAGCGGCCAGTGCCGAAGCGCAACCGAGTCGCGTGGTCCTGGTAACGAGTGCCGACACCGCCCTGGGCCTCCAGCTGTGCACCCATTTGGCGAACAAGGGATGTCGGGTGTTTGCTGGAATGAAGGAGGCGCATGACTCGCTGCCGGCCAAGTTGCTCTGCGGCTGGATGAAGATCCGGGAGTATAGCGAAGAGCCCATTGCCGGAACCATTATTCCGATGCGTCTGGATGTTACGCGAGAGGATGTGCTGCGCGAGGCCACCGTGGCCATGGGCGCCCACTTGAATGCCGACGAGCGGGGCATCGCCGCCGTCATCAACACCAGCGGCAGTGTGTTCCGCGGCAAGGTCGAGTCCCAGGATGTGCAGCAGTGGGAGCATATGCTAAAGACCAATATCCTGGGAACGCTGCGTGTGGCCAAGGCATTTGTGGGCTTCCTGCGTCCCACCCGCGGACGCCTCCTGTACTTGGGCGGCGGTGGTGGAGGTAGTGGCGGTGCCCGCGCCGGTGGCGATGGGTTGGTGGCCTTTAACGCCTCTCGTGTCGCTGTGGACAAGTGCGCCGAGGAGCTGCGCAAGGAGCTGCAGCCATATGGTGTCAGTGTGGTGGCCCTGGATACTTGCGGCATGACCGCCGAGTCCCTCTACAAAGCTCCAGTGGCCCAGAGTGAGTTAGGAACCTGGAGAAGTCACATTTAAGATCATCTTTGCTTATTATTTTCAATTTCCAAACCCCTTCCAGCCATGTCCGCTACGGCCGGAGCTCCCACGCAGTACACCGCCGATGTCCTGAGTCCCGGCGCCCTGCAGGTGATCGAGCGAGCCCTGTGGGACTTTACGCCGCAGCAACGTTATCCGCTGATGGGTAACAACAAGTACCAATTCACGTTGCCATGCCGCTCCTCGCTGCGTCTCCAGCGTCCGGCAGCCTCGCCGGCCGGCGGAGCCTCTGCCACGCAGTCGGTTTGAAATATCCCTGAATTAATACCTGAACTATTCTCTGGAGTCTACCTGTATATACGCACCTAATACTGAACCCTTGTCCCGCTCCAGTTTCCAGTTCCAGTTCCAGCTCCTGTTCCCGATCCTGCTCCACCTCGTACCCACTGGCCTGCGTTTTAAAAAAAATCACCCGCTAACACTGCTATTTTTTGTTTTGATGATATTCCTTCCAATTGGAAGGCTCTTTTTTATATATATATAATATTATTTTATACTCGTTTTTTTGTACACGCTGCTAAAGGTGTAATTGAGGTACATCATACGTAATGTTACGACAAAAGAATATAAAAACAAAAAATAAAAAAAAAAACAAATAAATCTTTGTGCTAATCAAAAAAAAAACGATATATTATTCTCTATGGGTGGATTGTGATATATATGTATGATATGTGTTGTACAACATATTAGATCAGGTAAAGTTCTTAATGTCTATATTTCGAATGTTAATCATTCACGTCTTAGAACTACTCATATTTCGAAATAAAGTCATAACGCAAGACAGAGGCAGCATACATTTCCCCGGCACGGGCCTTGGTACGTGTCTCAGTGGCTCCCGGCAGATTAATCAGCACATCGGCACCCACAATGCTCTGCAAGCGGCTGCTGATCTGTTATATTAGATTAATTCTGGTTAGTTTTGTTACCAAAAATTAAAGAAAAAAGAGTTTACCTGATCACCATTGACGGTAGCGCATAGAACACCCTGCTTGGAGATCACCGAGGCGCGCACATACTCCGGACGAGCATCCAGCTCAAGATCATGGAGTAACTGCAAGAGAATTTATATCAGAAGAGGTGGAAGTGTAAACTATTTCTTATCGGTAGAAACATTGCTGGTAAACATGCTGGACTGATAACAAAATGCCACTCGAAAGCAAAAGTATCTTTTTACGTCACAGCCCGATGACCTACAACAATTTTTTTAGGTTCTCGAAGCCCCTCCTGATTGAATAGTGGATGTGGCGCTAATCAATCACTGTTGAATGCCAAGCAATTTCGCAATATGATTCAATATGCTATACACACCTCGACTTTGATTTTTGGTAGACAGCACTTGGTGAACTCCCAGCCACCGGCCCAGCGGATGGCGGGCAAAGCAAACAAATGGAATGTCACAAAGGTCGAGACAGGATTGCCCGGAAGACCAAAGAAGTACTTGCCATTGCGGCTGGCAAAGGTCAAGGGTTTCCTAAAAAAAATCAACAAAAATATTTAAAATCCGATAATAAACCAAAAAATGTAAAGAAAGTAACCAACCCTGGTTTCATATTAACTCGTCCGCAGTGAATCTCAAAATTAAGAGTCTCCAAAACGGGCTTAACAAAATCCTTGTCGCCCATGGAGACACCTCCGCTGCAAATCACAAAGTCCATAACATTGAAGAGATTGGACAGAGTCTCTTTGGTTTCCTGAAAGCTACAATAAAAGATGGTATTAACTTCAAAAATAAAGAAAGATTTCAAATAAAGAACCATACTTATCATTCAGCACAGCTGTTTTCATGCACTCGAAACCAAAGTATTGGAGAAGCTCCTCCAACATAGTGGTATTCGAATCATAGATCTTGCCCATCACTGGCGTCTCGTTTGGAGCAAGCAGCTCACTGCCCGTAGAGACTATAGCGATCTTGGGCTTGCGAATAGCAGTAGGATTACCCACAGAAGCTAATAGAGACTTGACGACCACCGGTGATGGATCGGCAGCCGGAAAGATTAAGCTATTGGTACTGAGATCATGTCCAATGGGACTGCATTAAAAAAAAAAAGGAAAACAAGTTTAATATACAAACTAAAAATAGTATGTGACTTTACGCACCGAACATCCAAGCCGGCAGTCGGCTCTACCTTAATATAGACCAGTTTTTCGTTTCCAAACTGATCCCTTTCCAGCAGCTGGGTATCCTCCACCTGCACCACACAATCAGCGTCCATCGGCAATGGAGCCCCAGTATTTATCTTGAAGCATTCATCCTCTGCTATCGGTCTTACATTCGGCTATAAAAACAGAACTAGCTTGAAAATTTTGTTTGGAAAATTCTAGGAAAAACTTACAGCGTCACCGGCGGCAATACAGCCGAGAACACGCTTGGTTCCCGAGAAGCCGGTCGACTTCATGGCGTAGCCATCTTTAATGGATGCCCGGAACGGCGGAATATTCACGGGAGAGGTCATATCCCACAGTAGCTTCTTGAGATTTACGAATCGATTGATGTTCTTAAAGATCAGCCCGAGAACATCTTCCACGGGGAGCATGGGGAAGGGGGAATTACGATCGGCATCGGTGCCGTTGCCGGTCTGATGGGGACAAACGTGTCCCCTGGCTGAGGGCTGGGATACTGGGCCGACGTTCTGTATTTCGTCATGACAGCGCTTTACCAGCTCCAAGTCGTTGGTAATCAAATGGATGGCGTGGGGCAGCAAGTCACGCACAATCTCAAAGCACTCAGTTACGGCCTTCTCGCTTCCCGGCAAGTTAATGATCAACGAGTTGCTGGCAATGCCGCAAATTCCACGCGAAAGGGCTGCAAGCTTGGTCTTCTTCACCGACTCTTGGGCAATGAGAGCGGCCAAATGGGGACATTCCCGGTCAATCACGGGCTTAGTAGCCTCGGGAGTGATATCCCTCGGCCCGAAGCCAGTTCCACCCGTAGTTAATATCACATTGAAATTACAGCCGATCCAGCGGCACAGAATCTCCTCGATATCCAGCTGCTCGTCGGGAGCAATGCTGTAGGTCACCTTCACATTGGTGAAGGAATCACGAATCAAATCAATGAGCTTGGGGCCACTACGATCGTTAGAGGGATCCTGGTGGCAAGTGTCGCTAACTGGGTTTATAAACAATTATAGACCACATGTGACAGTAATTGGGGAGGGGCTGTTAACTTACTAGTTAGTACTCCAAATTGAACGGCTTCCATTGCGTCATTTGCTATTCAAGCTTTTTCACTAAACGATCAACAATCAAATTAACAAAAAGTTAAATATTAAGCTGAGCACGCGGCGCGCACCGGTCCGCGTCGTTCAAAGAAATGCGTTCTAGAACGATAACTACGCCGATAACACCGCCGCCAGAAGCAGCCAACTTAGCTTTTTAGTAATGTTTGTAAAAAAATATTCTGCAAAAATTAAAAAAAATGGTTTATTCCTCTTAATATGGTTTAGCTAATATTTAGAAAATTGTTATTAATTTTTTTCTGAAGTTTGTAGTACTATTATTGTAGTATTTAGCTTTAACTTTATTTTCATTTAGAACAATTCTAGCCGCGGGCACTCTAGAACATGGTGTGTACACACTGTTCTTTCCTGTAAAAAATCCTGCGAAAATTAAAAAAATGGTTCTTTGCTTCTATTATGGTTTAGATAATATTAAGAAAATTGGAATTCATTTATTTATAAAGTTTTTAGTACTATTGTTGTAGTATTTATCTTAAACTTAATTTTCATTTAGAACAATTCTAGCCGCGGGCATTCTAGAACATGGTGTGTACACACTGTTCTTTGCCTGTTTAGGCTTTAACCCTTTCATTTTCATTAACCCTTATTGAGTTAATTTTTTTTTCATTAAATTAATTAATTTAAAAAAAAATTATTTAAAAATTATAAATTATCATAAGCAAAAAATTAAAAATCATAAACAATCATTATTTTTAATTTTTATTCATTTTTGCTCAAAAATGTATTACTTGAGATTCATGATTTCGCGATATTTATTAAGTTTTCTATATATTTGATATCATATCTTCTTAGGCCATTTGTATAGGTATCATTTAGTACCATGATTTTTTCACTTTTCTTTCAAACTATTAAAAATTGGAAAAACCTAAATATGACCATATTTTATATCGAAAAATACTTGATCCTAAAGCTTCAGTCTTTGTATTGGTTTAATTAATAGGGAATTCGGCATGAATTCGCTTGAGGATTATATATTTGGACAATTTCCATGTTAAAAACAAACCTATTTGAAAGATGTACATAGCTTTTTGAAAAAAATTATATTTGAAGCTCAATGATACGCAAGTTATTTTATTTTAAAAGTGTATAAATTAGTTGTTAGTGCCAAAATATACGTTCAGTTTTTGGAAATTTATTTCTTATTGCAAACTTTGTCTCTTTTATATGTTTTATTTTCAAGATATACTTTGTTTACCTTATAGAATTTTTCAAAATAAAAATAATAAATAACTTTTGTAGAATTAGTTAGTGAAGTTAATGCCAATATTTTAGTTTATTTTTTGTAAGTTTAATTCTTTTTGCAACCTTAAGCCTCTTATATATGGATTATATTTTTTCAAGAAACCAAAGGATTTTTGGCGGGATAGGTTTTTCAAAATTAAAATAATAAACTTATATCCATCAATCTTAAAATAAATTAATAATAAATCAACGTTTATATTTATTAAAACGAATGCATTTTATTTATAATCATATCATATAGATTTAGAATATTAACATGATAAACGACCAACTCAAATCGACCCTCTAAGGGTTAACTTGAATGTAAATCTGAGGAATCCCGCAAAATTCTCAATAAATCTTCGTGGTTTACCATATGAATGTAGTCATATTAGCTAAATGGCTTATTTATTAACACTAAACTACAACAATACAAAAAAAAACAGGGCGCAACAACGGCTCAGCTCTTCGGGCGACCAGCCACCGGCCTCCTAGCTCTACCCGGGATCACTTGGTCTTCGCCTGGGGCTGTGGTTTGTCCCCGGACGCCGTACGCTCCACCAGGGGATCGTAGCCCGAGGCCATCTTCTCCTTGAACTGCTCGTAGGTACGCTTGCGGTCGAAGTGCTTCACCCACTGTCCAGGACAGGATTGCTCGAACTGCTTGCGGAGATTTTGGCAGGCGGATGGCACTTTCTCGCCACTGGTGGAGCTGTGCTTGGGGGCGTGCTCGTCCAGGCACTTCCAGTACTCATCCCGGTTGCTCCAGCACTTGGCACGCTCCGCTTTGTCGGGGAAACTCATTTCGTTGCGGTGGAACTATAACTTTTGGTTACAGGTTGGCGTCTTTTCTGTCTTTCTTCTGGGTCTGTTTCGGATGAACTCCCAGCTGAGGGTTGTAAATGCTAGCCTTCAATCCACCTGAAAACAATAAAGCTGCCTTTTAGCTTTTAAAGTGACTAAATTACTAAAGAAAACCAACCTCAAAATTACAAAACAAAAATATCTCCGGCTAGTGGTGGGACGCAGATGATAGCATCTGTCATAGTTATCGTTTAGAGATTATAACCAAGTAACCGATAGGTATGGCGCGAAATTTAAAATTCAACGTAGTCGAATCTAATTTAACTATGATAATGGTGACTCTGTATATACCCTAAAAAAATCCTTATGAATTTTGAACAAAAAGGAGATCGAAAATTTTATATCCAGGTTTTGATGCAGAATTCTGTAGAATCGACCCACAAATCGTTTAAGGTACTCCGTTTAGGAATCGGATGGGTATCGGCCAAGATATTGTCTTCCAAAGTTCCATATTTTGGTATTTCGTGATTTTTCCCATTTTCGAAGGGGTCCATCAGAAAATTTTGAAAAAATCGGATCGAAAATTTTGTTTTCGGGTTTTGATGCAGAATTACGTAGAATCGATCCACAAATCGATTAAGGTACTCCGTTTAGGAATCGGATGGATATTGGCCAAGATATAGCCTTCCCAAGGGCCATATTTTGGTATTTCGTGATTTTTCCCATTTTCGAAGGGGTCTATCAGAAAAATGTGAAAAAATCGGATCGAAAATTTTATTTTCAGGTTTTGATGCAGAATTACGGAGAATCAATCCACAAATCGATTAAGGTACTCCGTTTAGGAATCGGATGGGTATCGGCCAAGATATAGTCTTCCAAAGTTCCATATTTTCGTTCTTCGTGATTTTCCCCATTTTCGAAGGGTGTCCATCAGAAAATTTTGAAAAAATCGGTTCGAAAATTTTATTTTCATGTTTTGATGCAGAATTACGGAGAATCAATCCACAAATCGATTAAGGTACTCCGTTTAGGAATCGGATGGGTATCGGCCAAGATATAGTCTTCCCAAGGGCCATATTTTGGTATTTCGTGATTTTTCCCATTTTCGAAGGGGTCCATCAGAAAATTTTGAAAAAATCGGATCGAAAATTTTGTTTTCGGGTTTTGATGCAGAATTACGTAGAATCGATCCACAAATCGATTAAGGTACTCCGTTTAGGAATCGGATGGATATTGGCCAAGATATAGCCTTCCCAAGGGCCATATTTTGGTATTTCGTGATTTTTCCCATTTTCGAAGGGGTCCATCAGAAAAATGTGAAAAAATCGGATCGAAAATTTTATTTTCAGGTTTTGATGCAGAATTACGGAGAATCAATCCACAAATCGATTAAGGTACTCCGTTTAGGAATCGGATGGATATTGGCCAAGATATAGCCTTCCCAAGGGCCATATTTTGGTATTTCGTGATTTTTCCCATTTTCGAAGGGGTCCATCAGAAAAATGTGAAAAAATCGGATCGAAAATTTTATTTTCAGGTTTTGATGCAGAATTATGTAGAATCGATCCATAAATCGTTTAAGGTACTCCGCTTGAGAATCGGATGGATATTGGCCAAGATATAGTCTTCCAAAGTTCCATATTTTCGTATTTCGTGATTTTCCCCATTTTCGAAGGGTGTCCATCAGAAAATTTTGAAAAAATCGGTTCGAAAATTTTGTTTTCAGGTTTTGATGCAGAATTACGGAGAATCGATCCACAAATCGATTAAGGTACTCCGCTTAGAAATCGGATGGGTATTTGGCAAGATATAGTCTTCCAAAGTTCCATATTTTCGTTCTTTGTGATTTTTCCCATTTTCGAAGGGGGTCCATCAGAAAATTTTGAAAAAATCGGATCGAAAATTTTATTTTCAGGTTTTGATGCAGAATTACGGAGAATCAATCCACAAATCGATTAAGGTACTCCGTTTAGGAATCGGATGGGTATTTGCCAAGATATAGTCTTCCAAAGTTCCATATTTTCGTATTTCGTGATTTTCCCCATTTTCGAAGGGTGTCCATCAGAAAATTTTGAAAAAATCGGTTCGAAAATTTTGTTTTCAGGTTTTGATGCAGAATTACGGAGAATCGATCCACAAATCGATTAAGGTACTCCGCTTAGAAATCGGATGGGTATTTGGCAAGATATAGTCTTCCAAAGTTCCATATTTTCGTTCTTCGTGATTTTTCCCATTTTCGAAGGGGGTCCATCAGAAAATTTTGAAAAAATCGGATCGAAAATTTTATTTTCAGGTTTTGATGCAGAATTACGGAGAATCAATCCACAAATCGATTAAGGTACTCCGTTTAGGAATCGGATGGGTATCGGCCAAGATATAGTCTTCCAAAGTTCCATATTTTCGTATTTCGTGATTTTCCCCATTTTCGAAGGGTGTCCATCAGAAAATTTTGAAAAAATCGGTTCGAAAATTTTGTTTTCAGGTTTTGATGCAGAATTACGGAGAATCGATCCACAAATCGATTAAGGTACTCCGCTTAGAAATCGGATGGGTATTTGGCAAGATATAGTCTTCCAAAGTTCCATATTTTCGTTCTTCGTGATTTTTCCCATGTTCGAAGGGGGGTCCATCAGAAAATTTTGAAAAAATCGGATCGAAAATTTTATTTTCAGGTTTTGATGCAGAATTACGTAGAATCGATCCACAAATCGATTAAGGGACTCCGCTTGAGAATCGGATGGGTATTGGCCAAGTTATAGCCTTCCCAAGGGCCATATTTTTTGTATTTCGTGATTTTCCCCATTTTTAAAGGGTGTCCATCAGAAAATTTTGAAAAAATCGGATCGAAAATTTTGTTTTCAGGTTTTGATGCAGAATTACGTAGAATCGATCCACAAATCTTTTGAGGTACTCCGTTTAGGAATCGGATGGGTATTGGCCAAGTTATAGCCTTCCCAAGGGCCATATTTTCGTATTTCGTGATTTTCCCCATTTTCGAAGAGGGAAAATGAAAAAAAAAATTCAGGATCGGGTTAAGGATCGTGTGATTAGAGGCCAAGATGTGGTAATTTCCACCAAAGAGCTGCCAAAATACTTACCGCCTGAAAAATAGACCCCACTACCCCCAATTACCATGCCATCAAGTCCAATTGACCTTGGAGATCGCGACAATTACAAATACTTAATGCACACTGATATTTTTTATTGATTCGGACCATTATGTTGCTGCTCGTATTACTATTATTTGATTGGTTTAATATCTTATGGCTAAACATTAACGTTGTTGCAAACGAACCGTGCCTCTGCCATGGAGGTATTTATTCAATTTCCAACTAATCAGCAAGAGTTGTGGTAAACAATTAAAAAAAAAACTGTGTGGGTTGTGCGCAGAGTGGGTGTGGGTGTGAGGAGTTACTTTTCTTTGTTTAAAAAAAAAAAAGATATATCCGCACACATATCCGCATTGCACTTAAAAAAAATACTAAAATAACCAAAGCAAACAAAACAAATATAATGACAGCTCCTGCTGTGCACAATAATAACAATTAAAACTGATGTATGGGCTTGTGTGAGTTATACTATAATTTCTAGGTGTGTTCGAAACCGTTACATACATATACATACATATATATGATCATCGTATATCCATTATATAAATCTTGCATATCTTTTCTTATCATAGGTACACAAATACGTATAGAAATGCCGATTGCTGGCGGGATTAGGGGGTAATGGGGAATGGGATTGGGATTGGGATTAAGGGGGGGTTTTCGTGGATGTCATAAATGTCCTTTCATCCCCCCAAGATATGGGACTCAAAGGGGTTAGGTATCTTATATACTATATATATCCTATTGTCGATACAAACATTTACATCTTACATCTAGACGCCAAAACGAACAGTTTTTCAGCCCGATTCTCTAGTCTATATAGCTCCAGTATATAGTTTATATTTATATATATATGTTTTTGGGGGATCGTTAGACGCGGCGATATGCTACTAGAGGGTGATGGAGGGTTGTGGAGGTGAGTACATTGGGTTAAAGGATAAAGGACTTAAGTAAACCGCAGTCAGTTTCAATTCTCATTTTTTTTTCTATATCTTGTGGGTGGGAGTCCCCCCAAAAATGCATTGCAGTTTTGTGATATTGGTCGATATTGTTTGGATTCGTCTCTATATAAAGGGGGGTGGCTAGGTGGTAGGTATATGTCCGGGACTTTTGGGGATTTCTTCTCTCTTTGAGGCACTTGTGGCTTGGCTAAAGTTGCTTGGCAAACTGAAAAATAAACTCTAATACAAATTGTGCAAATGATTTTCTCGGGAAATCTCTCTCTCTATACTTTTTTTTTGATTTTTTAGTTGCGATTGTGTGCTATAGTGTGTGTGCCTCACTAAATACAAAAAAAAATTTAAGTTGATTTCTTGTTTTTTTGTTTTTTTTCTTGTTTCTATTAATGACTATCAGTACTTTACCCTGCACAAAGACATATATGTATATAGTTTTATAGACATTCTTGTTTTTTTTTCTGTATTTTTTTGATTTTGAAAACTTATCTTCTACTAGCTAATCTATATATTTTGCAATGCAATCTTGTTATAAAAAAAAAAACACCCATATTTTTAAACTTTTCTCTTATTTTTTCCTTCGGATTATTGTTACATTCACGTGCCTCGAGTACAGTGCGTTTCAGTGGATTATGACAGTTTTAAAAGAAAATTATAAGCTTGCAAAAATTTAAAAAAATAAAAAAAAAGCACAAAATAAGATTCAATATTTTTTTCTTTTTAAAAGTCATTATTTTTTAACTCAAAACACCAAATAAGAGGATTAAAACTAAAAAGAAAATTATAAACATTCCAAAATATAAGAAAAAGGAAAAGAAAAAATAAAAAAAATAATAATTCTCGATAATGGGTGGCTGTTATATAGCCCCCAGGATACTTTAGATACTTTCTTCTTTATTAAAAGCTATTAAAAAAATTAAAAAAAAGAATTCTCGAATATGGATGGCTATTATATAAGCCCCCATGATATTTTAGATACTTTCTTCTTTCTAAAAAGATATGATTAAAAATTAAAAAAAGACTTCTCGAATTTTTACGTGCCATTTAAACTTGAAAGCCCACTGTAGCTCCTGACCTGGCCTTTCTCTCTCTTTCTATTGCCAGCTTGGCGTCACTTTCGATCTTATGACTAGATACACTTTCCCCGGATTATAATGCTCTCTCTTCTGCCCTAGGTTCCTTTTTTAAGTCTAAAGTTTGAAACATTTTAAGGACACGACCAACACACCAAGCACACAATCGCGGGGGGGAAATATTGTGTAACAAACGTGCGACTAATAATAATGGGGGGGTCAAGGTTCAAACAAATGCAAAAATAAAAAAAACGTTAAACAAAATGAATAAAAAAAAAAAACAAACGCTAATCGTAGTCGTTAAAAATAGACAATAAAATGTGGTAAACCATAAAACATTTGGCAGTCGAAGAAGGCCCTCGGGCTTCGATTCTCACATCGAATTCTTATGCGTAGTATATATATATATATATATATATCTACGATCCTACACATATATGGCGCTCGTTCCTGCTGCTGGTGCTGTGTGTGTGATGTTGGTGGGGGATTCAATCGTCGTGGTCGAGGTCGTGGATGATGGGTTTTATGGAATTCATTTCGAGTCAAGCTTACACCTCATCGACTTTCGTTGCTGCTTCCATGGAATCCGGTTCCGGGTCGGCTGCCGAGTCCATCGGCGAGCCATTTGTGCTGGAGGATTGGGAGGCGTACTTGCAGGAGGCTGTCAGGCAGCGGCAACCCATATTGGAGCGATGCTCGGCACGCCAGAACTTCTCTCCATAATCATAGCTGGTGGGGATTAGAGAAAAAAGGATGTAAGCTACAATACACATCTATTGGATTTCTCCTTCCTACCAGATCTCCTCGCCAGCATCGATGTCGCGGCAAGCGAAAAATGCAATCTTGGGGAAGCGGTAGTCCTGGTGCTCGTAGAACACCCGCACCGCCAGGACGTTCGGCTCGCAGGAGTGGTTGAAGAATCGGGTCACATTGCCGTAGTAGTTGGCATCGATGCAGTGCCCATTGTCCAGGTCAAAGTAGTAGCTGTCGTCGGTGCGTCTGTCGGCTTCCAGAGCCGTCAGAATCTCGCCCGTGTAGCTGGCCACAAAGGTGCCCTTGGGAACGTTGGCCAGGGCGCGAACACCCCAGCCCTTGGCCGGCTCCTCGCACTCGACAATCTGGAGTGGTGTCCGAGTGCCATTCTGCACCACACGGTTCTTGCAAGAGAGCTACCAAATAGGTTAAGCTAATCCTCTAAAGAAAATCGTATCAAACTCACCTGATTGCAACCGCAGACGTCGTTGCACTCGAAGATCACCGCTGGATCATCGTAATTGAAGTCGGAGGTGAGACGGCTCTCGGCCGTGTACCAATTCTGGGAGGAGGCGCCATTGCACTGGCACCGATCACTGCTGCAGCTGTCCGGGCAGGAGCAGATGCGCATCTGGGAGACCCGTCGATCGATCTGCACCGAGTTCTGCTGGATGATGCACTGGGTGACGTAGCGAAAGTCTGGCCAGAGCAGAGAGTCCGCCTCGTCCTCGCTCTCCGACATGGCCAGTTCGTTGCGCACAGCCTGGATGGGCCGGGCCTCGCGTCCATTGGAGGCATCGGCACAAACTACGAGGGTGCGGAGGCCCAGGGGCCGGAAACTACGCATCTGCATGTTGAAGCCGACGGTGCGGCCGCATTCCGACTCCTCGTTGGGAATGCAATCGAAGGGCAGCTGTTCCGCCTTGTTCTTGATCATCAGATCGGCTCCATTGGCAATCAAGGCGATGCACATCCTAGTGACCGAGTGACGGCAGGCAATGTGGCTGAAAAATAGGAGGAATCTTCATTAAAGTTCCTCCTCTAATCTGGATAGTCTTAATCCTTACAGTGGCGTATCCCCCTCCACGTTCTGGACATTACAATCGGCGCCAGCCTGCAGCAGTACCGTGATGGTGTCCAGGCCATCATTGTGCAAGGTGGACCAGTGGAGAACCGTGTTGTTGTCATTGTCGCAGATGTTCGGATCAGCGCCCTGATTGAGAAGGAAACTGTGAGGGAAGAGGAGGGCCATTATTAGTTGGCTTTTAGGTGGAACTTTGAAGGGTAATCCTACCTAACAATGTCGGTGTGTCCCAGCTCAGCTGCCCACACCATGGCCGTCCAGCCGCCCTCATCCTGGGCATCGATGAAGCTCAGGAAGCTGGTGATGTTCTTCGAGGCGCGATAGCTCTCCACAATGAGTTGCGTGGCCTCAACGTTGCCCAGTTTGGCGGCAATATGTAGACTGGTCTTTCCATCGGGTCCCTAATAGAAATAGAATGACTTTAAAATGGAATCCAATGGGGATGCTGTCATCCAAACCCACCTTGATGGCCACATCGGCTCCGCATTGCAGGAAGAGATTAAGCATGTCGCACTTCTCGTTCATCACCGCGCACATCAGTGCCGTGCGCAGTTCACTGTCCACGATGTTGACAAAGTCCTGGGAGCTGGCACCCTTGCAGAGCAGCAGGTAGGCCATCTGCAGGGTACCGGAATGGGCCACCAGATGCAGGCAGGTTCCATTCAGATAGTCCCTGATGGGAGTCAACACATTGAAGTCGGCAGCTGTAATGAAAGGTAAGGTTTAAGTATCTGTTTAAGATCTGCCTGGAGAGCCAGTTACCTAGAATCTCCGCCACCCGTTCGAGATCATCGTTCTGAACCGCATAGTACATGTCCCGGGAGGTAAACTCGGTGGTAACCCGACCACTGGCAGACACCACATGACCCCGCAGCACCACATTCATCACCGAATCGGGTATGAGCTGTTCAAAGTTGATCGTATTCAGGGATTGGCTGATTTTTCCCCCACCACGAGTACCATTCGTTTTCGATGCCGAGGCCGATGACGATGATGAGGATGAGGGTGTGACGGAGCCCACGACTGCGGAGGATGAGGAGGAGCTTTTGCCTTTGGTTTTGCCAGTCAGACTGGACTTGGCACCGCCGCCCCCGAACTGGGTGAGATGCGACGCAGTCGTCAGCTTGGCGGGTTTACTGAAAAAGACACCAGTGTTTATTATTTTTGTGAAATGGGATCTCGGTGGGAATGGGCTTACATCTTGTACTTCTGGGTGGGTAGAAAGACGGGCAGTGACTGGCACTTCATGGTCACAGTGGAGGCGCGCTCTGGGGTGTCGGAGCCACAATGCGGGCACTTCAGCACCAGCATGGGGCTGCTAAACTTGGCCCGATCTCCTCGCTCCCACTGCCCCTCGCAGGGCGAGTTCAGAATGAACCGTTGGGCGCAGTCCGGATGGAAAAAGTGCTGGTTCTTGCACAGCACAAACTTTCCCTGGAAGACACAAGCCATGATTAGAGTCAAAGGACAATGGAGAGCTGGATGAGATACCCACCTGAGTGCAGAAGATGCCGCATCCGGCGCAGCAGTTGTGGGAGTGGAGACGCTTCTTGTGCTCGTCGCAGAGGATCATGTAGCCGACGCGCTGGCTGGGACGGAGGAGGTTGTGCACCTCGGCGGAGAGCTCGTTGCAGCATCCGATCTTCTGCTCGTCGATGTGATCGATGGCACAGCAGTAGGAGGAGTCGGGGGCGTTGCGGGCATAGTACTGCGAACTCTTCTGGCAGAGGCAGATGAACTTGGCAAGATTTGAGGTGCTCGGCATGGCATCCGCATCCGCGGGCGGTAGGTCGGCCAGGATCGACGAGTTCAGCGTGTGCAGCTGGTCATGGTCCAGCGTGGAAATGACCACTCCAGAGGACGGCATGGATACCCCACCTCCAGCGCCAGCTCGGCTGCCAACGCGTCGCGTCAGCTTGGGTGGCACTGGCTGCTGCTGGTGGGCAGTATTGGAGGCGGCTTTCAGGGCCTGGGCCGATGTGGTAGCCACCTCCTTGGCTGCGGGAGTCCGGACACGCAGCGTGACACTGCGCTTGGCCACCTGGACGCGGGTGGTGGGCACGAACTCGTTGTCTGTGTTGGAGCTGTCGTTGTCGGAGGCCTCGTCGCTGTGGTTGCGCTTCAGGCCGAGGTGCTTCAGGTGCTTCTCCTTCTGCTTGGCCAGCTTCCGCTGCTGCTTCTTGTTCAGCTTGCGGTCCTCCGGGGAACGGTTGGCATTGAACCGGGCCGCCTTGATGTCACTGAGGAAGTCCTCCACGTTGGGGCACGGACGCATCTTGCTCTTCGCCAGCAGAGCGGCGCTGGCGTTCTCGATGTCGCGCTGGGACTTGGAGAAGAGACGCTTCTTGATGGCACTCGTCCCGGCCGGATGCCCCTCGAAGTTGCTGCCGTCCGACTTGTCGCTCTTCTGGCGCGACGTGGAGGAACATGATCCGCCGCCTCCCGCTCCCGACTGGGGTGTCTCGAAGTCGCCGTTCGATGAGCCCGCAGCCGTCTCCCACTGAGTCATCCGTTCAATGTGCTTCGTCTCGAACTCGCAGCGCAGCTCATCGTTCTCCAGGATCTTGGGGGTGGGCTTGATCCTCCGCTTGGAGCGCTTCGGCAGCTGGACATCCGGACCAGTGGCCGTCACCCGCTTGTTGCCGTTGGTGAGGGCCACGGTGGCTCCCGGTTCGGTCTTTGTGCCGGGCTGGATCTTGGCCTTCCGTCCGCGCTTCTTGGGAGGCGTTTTCCCGTCCAGGAGAACCGGAGCCACAGCCACAGGAGCTGCCTCCACCAGGGATAGGTCTGTCAGGGGGGGAACTGGCTCTGTTTTCACCTCCTCCCACCCGTCGGCGGGGTGCCGGTTGCCGAGACGGACACTGCGACGCATTCTCTTGGCATCGCCACCGGTAACAGCTCCATCGGCCGCCGTTCCATCGTCGTGCTCGGTTTTGACCACCACGAGGTCGCCCAGCGCTTGGTCGGCCGTCGGTTCCTCCGGCAGCTTCCTCTTCCTGCCCGGCTTCCGTTCCACCACCACCACGGGCAGCTCCTCTCCAGCGGCGGGAGCTTCGCTCAGCGCCTCCGTCATCTCCGCTTCGGGCTTAATCTTTTTGGCACGTCCTCGTCCTCGCTTGGGAGCCGGTGGCGTTGCTACATCCTCGGGCGCTGGTTTCTCAATCTCCTTCTTAACCTCCAATTCGATCGGAGCGACCTCCTCCACAATTGGCACACTAATCTCCAGCTGCATCTCGGTCTCCACCTCGGGCACATCCACCGAAGAGGCAGGTGCTGGCTCATCTGCGGTGGTCAGTGGTGTGGGTGTTGTGGTGGGCGTGGGCGTGTCCGTGGGACGAGGTGTCCGGCGGGAACGTCGTGTTCCGCCAGGTGATACTTGTTCCTGCAAGATACAGATACTCATTCAGTGCTGATGTCGAGAACAGGTCATAAAGGAATGCCAGACGAACTATGTAGTTGGTTGCCAGGCAACGGATTCAGCCAAACATACCCAAGGTGGGTTAAGGTTTTAACCCTCAAAATAGGGGGTATATCTATGATGTAGATACTCTAGGATTTGATCCTCTAGAGATTAAGGTCCTATTATAACACCCCTGTAGTAACTTCCGCTTCATCATAATTTCCTATGGATGAGTTATAGTCTTTACACTATAGCACCCCCTACCCCCTACCCCCTATAGACTTTATCAAAGAATAAATATTGATTAGAATTATTCAGCGATTAGGTCTGTGGCATTGTCTTTTAAATATTGATTTCGATATTTTTTTTAAAGAGTTTCGCATTTTTTTTATAAAATTCCCGAAGCTTTAAAAGCTTCTCATAATAGTAGTAGTTTGTGTTTTGTTGTTGTTGTTTTTTATGAGAAGCTTTTCCTCCTCCGGTGGCCATAAAAAACCATTTACATGCCACATCTGTTGGCCAGTATCTCAAAAAAAACGAAAAAAGTATCTCATAAATGCAACTACTAACCAATAACTGAAGAAACCTTTTTTAAAAGCCATATCATGGGCTGGCAGGTTTATGGGCTCCCAGTTGGTGATTGCAAAGGGGGGAAACCCCCTCCCAATTAACCCCATTTCTAAGTGACTGCCTAGGGGTTAAGTATTTTATTTTATTTATTTTTCTTTTTTTTTTTTAATTTTAAAATATTTTTTAAAATAACAAAACTTATATACTAACTGGAGAGTTTAGGAATTTTTGAAGCTCACACACGCATACACACACACACACATACATACAGAGACTGAGTCACACACACACATATACGTACGTTTTTATCAGCACTGACGGCTGCTGGTGCTGGTGCTGCGACTGAGGGTGCTGCTGCTGCTGCTGCGGCTGGTGGTTCTGCTGCCACAGTTGAATCTGTTGCGTCAGCGCCAACGTCGACGCTGGCAGAATTGACAACAAGTGGAGATGCTGCTGATGCTGCTGCTGGTGGCTGTTGGGATTCTGCAGCAGCATCTCCAACTGCGTTTACTTCCTGTTTTTCATGGGTAGGCGCCACCTTAGCCACCCCCTCGACCTGCATTACTGCCTCGCCAGCTACCTCTGCCGCTTCTGCTTCGCTTTCATTCTCTTTTGGTTCCTGTTTGGGGTTTTCCTCTTCCTGTGCTGGCCCTTTCACCTCCTCCTCCTCCTCCTCCCGCTCTTCTTCAGTCTTGATGTTTTCGCTCTGCTGCTGCTGCTCCTCCCCCTCTGCCGACGTCACTGCATTTGCATTCGCATTTTCGACTGTAACTGTAACTGCAATTGCCTTTTCAGCGCCGCTCTCTTCCAGCTTTACCGTTATGGGGCTACTACATGCCGCATCCTGTTCCTTTTCCTTTTTTGCCTCCTCTCTTTCGCTTGATTCGGCCTTTGCTTCTTCTTTATCTTTACCGTCTTCTTCTTGCTTTTTCTTGGCCAACAAAGTTTCGGCGCCAGCTGCTTGCTCATTTTTCTGCTCTTCGCTTAGTTTTTCTGCATTTTCTTCACCTTTTTCGGCTGCATTTTGGCCTTGAGCCTGCGTTACGGTCTCGGGCGACAGAGCTACACACGCTGCCGCTGCCTCGGTCGGCTTCTCTGTCTCGGTTTCGCCAGCTTCAGCTTCAGCGGCTGCTTCTTCTTCCAGCTTTACGGCAGCGGAACTTACAACATGTGTTAGGATTTCTTTAATTTCCTTTAATTCCTCGCTAGGATTTGATGATTCCAGCTCCATATCCACCTCCTCCTCCTCCTTCGTCTCTTTATCCTTCTCTTCGGAGGAGGATTCACCACTTTTGGCCAGCTGCTGCTGCTTCTTCTCCTTGTCCTTGCAGGCAAACTGATTGTTGGCCAGATTGCGCCATTTAAGGGTCTTATCCTCGGCCAGGTCAAGATTCAGCAGCGTGCCCCCCTCCGCCGTCGAAGTGGCACAGTCCGAGTTGAAAGTGCTGGCCATGCTGTTCAACAGCTCCACATAGTCCGTCATCCTGGCAATGGCAGGATCTCAGGACTAGGAGCCGCTTCTCTTCGAAACAAAGCTTTTATTTTATTTTTATTTTTTTCACAATCACTTTGTTTTTATTTTTTACACTTTTTAGTTTTTTTAGTTTTAAAAATTTATATTTTTTTTTATTTTGGGTTGCACTTTCAAGAATCAATATTCCATTTTCTGTTTCCTAGCCCTCCTCAATCGAATTGGGGTCTGGAATATGAAAATGTATATGAAAAATATAGGCGATAAGATTGCTGCGGCCCCTCTCTGCCTCGGTCGCTGCCAGCCGAAGCCGAAGCAGAGACAGAGCGCGGCAGCAGCAGCAGCAACACCAGCACACCAGAGCACCAGCAGTAGTAGCAGTAGAAACGTTTTGCGGCCATTGAATTTATCTATTTAGCCATCACCATCGCCTCACCAAGATTTTTGAATACGAATTTAATTATTTTTTTCAGCCGAATAATGCTTAATTTCATCAAAAAAAAAAAAAACAACAAATAAACAACACCAGCAGCGACGTCGACTGAGCTCTGGTGGACAGCTAACTTTTTTTTTTTTTCTTTCGTATTTTTTCGGATGGTATGAAGACGATGGCAAGAGAGACAGAAACACACGCAATGTTTTTTTTTTTTTTGCAACTTTTGTTCACAATATAAAATATATAATTTTAGACTTTTAGTTTATTAACAATTTCTTGCACTTCGATTTCTTTGGAGGTTGAGGTTTTTCGTTTCCGAAGAAGTAAAAAAAAAATGTTTGTAGAAATCGCTGCTGCTGATTAGCTCACAACATGCTGGGCTCTCTTTCTCTTCGCTCTCCACTCTCCTCTCCATTCTTCTATGCTGTATTGTTGTTGTTGTTTTTTTGGTGCTCTTCGTCTGCTCTGGTGCTGGTGCTGCTGCTACTGCTACTGCTGCTGCTGCAGCAAGTTACAAGTTTGTGCATGCTTTTGATTTTGATTTTTTATTTTTTTGGCTGAGAATTCCGATGACCCCCACCCCGAGTTGATTTCTTGCGCCAAATATCCTCGACACTTAACGGCCCAATTATGGGAAATTATTAAAAAATTATAAAGAAAAGCGCACGCACGCACACTCTTGACGAGGCGTCTTGCGGACGCCCAGCTAGAGGTGGAGAAACATCGATGTTGCCAATATATCAATATATCGATATACCTCCAATGGAAATTATTTACTTAGGAAATATCGAAAAAATCGAAAGGATTAATAGTTGATAATAATGCTAGTCTATGATGGCTACTAAATTTAATCGAATGTTTTAATTCATTTCTCAAAAACGTCAATGTTTTCCACCTCTATCAGAGAAATTGACTTTTTGGCATGCTTGGCAGCACTGCTTGTCTTCAGCTGCTCAACACTATAATTTTTGCAGTATTTTTAGTATTTTCAAAGTATCCCATCTCTGGTCACGCTGCCCCAAGCGTTAGTGTTTTTCCCATCTCTACTCACTGTTTCGCGAAATACAAAAACAATAATTGGTAAAAAAAACGATTAATTATTGTTATTGGGGCTAATTTATGGCAAAAGTGCACAGATGCCAAACATTCGCACGTGACACGAACACGATTGGCATTTGTGAGCGTGAGGGGAATCCCGAATAGAATGAGAGAAGATGCGCATGCGCAGCCGCAGATTGCTACCGATTGTCCTGTCGCTGCTAATCCTGGTCCTCCTGTGTCTCAGTTACTTTTCCGGCCACCTCAGGGACCCTCCTGACGATGAATTCCTCCTGCATTTGCCCGCCGAAGCCGAACAGACGTTGGACAAGACCACGCGTCCTGGCGAGCCCACAGAGCCCAGTGGTCCCCTGCTTAATCTGACCGATTTCGACTATCTACTGCGCAGTAATGTCTGCCGCAAGGCTGATCGTGAGCTGTTGGGTAAGTGAAAATTAAATTAGCCAATTGGAAGCCCTCTAATTAGTTATGTGACGTCTCTTCTAGCCATTCTGATAGTCACCTCGTATGCTGGACACGATGCCCTGCGCTCCGCCCATCGTCAGGCCATACCCCAGAGCAAGCTGGCCGAGATGGGTCTACAGCGAGTGTTCCTTCTGGCCGCCCTGCCCAGTCGGGAGCACTTCCTTACCCAGGAACAGCTTGTGAGCGAACAAAAGCGCTTCGGTGATCTTCTCCAGGGTAACTTTGTGGAGGATTACCGGAACCTGAGCTACAAGCATGTGATGGGCTTAAGGTGGGCGGCCCAGGAGTGCAAGGATCACGCCAAGTTCATAATCAAGCTGGACGATGACATCATATATGATGTATTCCATCTTAGGCGGCACCTGGAGGCCCTGGAAGTGGGCCAACCCGCCCTGGCCACCTCCAGCACCCTGCTATCTGGCTTTGTGCTGGATGCCAAGCCGCCGATCCGCCTGAAAGCCAACAAATGGTATGTGACCCGGCAGGAGTATCCACATGCCCTCTACCCTGCCTACCTTTCCGGCTGGATGTACATCACCAATGTACCCACGGCGTCTAGGCTGGTGGCAGAGGCGGAGAGGGTGCCCATCTTTTGGATCGACGACACCTGGCTAACAGGTGTGGTGCGAACTCGGCTGGGCATCCCGCTGGAACGCCATAACGACTGGTTCTCGGCCAATGCCGAGTTCCTCGACTGCTGTGTGCGAGACCTGAAGCAGCACAGCTACGAGTGCGAATACTCCATAGGTCCGAATGGCGGAGATGACCGCCTGCTGGTCGAATTCCTTCACAACGTGGAGAAGTGCTACTTTGACGAGTGCGTGAAGCGACCGGCTGGCAAGTCGCTGAAGGAAACGTGCGTGGCAGCCGCCAAGTCGCGAGCTCCCGAGCACGGCTTGGCCGAGATAAAACCGGTGAAGCTGAGGTGACCCCTCGGTTCCAATTCCGGGAATCTGACCCACCACACGCGCCAGCTCAGTAATTAACTTTAATTTCATCTATACCTAAGGCATCCCATGTGCAAGAGGCCCGTCCTCACCCATTTTAGTTTCTTATTTTAAGCTTAAGATTATGCAGAATAGTTTTTTCTGGATGCATCCTGTTTGATATAACCAGTGGTGAGTCAAACTATTCATATTCCTTGACTAGCCAGTTGCTAATCTTACTCCCTAATTGCAGTGTGATAAGATCGAGTACTCAGAAATATAAATATGTGCAGAAGAAAGTCGCTAAGGTAAGGTTTTATCACACTCACTTTTCTCAGTAACACTACAGACTCCGTCCTAATCAGTATGCTAGGGTTAGGCTCAAAGTAAATAAGCAATCAACTGCATTTATACAATAAAATCCAAATAAATTGCATATTTTTTTAATAAAACTTTTAAAAATAAACCTAAATTGATTTGCAAAAGGCTTGGAAATAGTTAATATTTTAAAGAATATAAAGAAAGGGTATTTTGTACTTGATTTTAGAGATTTTTTTTAATAACTTACTGAAAACTAAGATTTTATAAATAGTTTACCCCATAAAGTAGGCAATTTTACATTTTTTAAAGGGGTTTTCATAGCCAAGTACCGGGTATAAATTGCTTTTAAAATTTTTTAAAATTTTTTCAAATAAATCCATATTTTTTTACCCCCTAAAGTAGGCCATATTACATTTTTTTAAAGGAAATGTACCGGGTATACCTTGCTTTTACAGTTTCTTAAAGAAAATTGCATTAATTTTACCCTAAAAATTAGGCAATATTAATTTATTTATACCCAAGTTCTAAGTATACACTTCTTTTACAGTTTCTTGAAAAAATTGCATTAATTTTACCCCCTAAAGTAGGCAATATTACATTTTCTAATGGATTTTCATAGCCAAGTACCGGGTATACATTCTTTTTAGGGTTTACAGTTTCTTTAAACAATTTCTTATATTTTTTTTAAAGGAAAAGGAGCGTGTATTTCTCGTTCTTACAGTTTCCGCTAAAAATTGCCTACTCCCTTAAGTAGGCAATATATATATTATATTATATATTTCTATATATTTCTTCTAAAGCTTCAGTGAAAAATAGAACAAAAGCCTTGGAATTTTTTTTCATTATCGTTCTTTATTATCATAAATAAATTTAAATTAAATAAATGCAATACAATTAAGCACAATTTCATAGAATCACCTCGATGAAATTACTTGTCTTGTCATCTGCTACGATCAGTATCCTTAGTTCCGTTTTTTTAATTTATTTATGATTGCTCATTTTTGCGGTTTATTGCGTCCTTTTACAATTAAATAAATGTGAGTGCGTGTGAGTGTGTTTGTCTAGTGTGTGTATATGTGTGTGTCTGTGAATGAGTGGTGGAAATAGGTGAATGTGAGGGGGATGGTGTGTGTGTGTGTGTGTGAGTGCGAGTGTGTGCGGCTGCAGTCTCTATAGAAGTTACAAAAGGGAAGTCCATCGTCTACTTTCTTCTCTCCCACCCACTCTGGTCTGGTCTGGTTCTCTCTTGCTCGCTTTCTCTCTCTTTTGCGCTCTCTGTCTGGACGATGTTCCAAATTCCGTTATACCCTTTCGTAACTTTATAGAAAGTACGAGCTCGCAGCTTTTCTCTACTTTTCTTTCATTAATTCTTTTCTTTTCTTTTCTTTTCTTTTTTCTCCTTTCCTTAAGAAATGTGCAAATTCTTCGTGTTAGTGTGGAAAGATTCTCTTTTTTTTCTTTTTGTTTTTTTTTTTTGGGAAAAATTTGTATCTCACGCTCTAAGTCTAAATAAATATAAATAAATAAATTGTATATTAAGTTATTAATTTATATATATATCATTTAAAAAAAAAAAAACAAAAAATTATACGGTTGTCAGCAGATGGTGTCTGTGTGTGTGTGTGTGTGTGTGTCTGTGTAAGTGTGAGTGGGAGTCTGCTTGGGCAAGAGCGAGACAAAGATAATAGACAAGAACAGTTATTTGTCTGTGTACTGTGTGTGTGTGTGTATGAGAGAGAGAGAGAGAGAGCTTATGTGTGTGAGAGTGACAATTTTGTTGTGTATTTTCTTTTTGTTTTCTTTTCTTTCTTTCTTTCTTTTTGTTTCAATTCCACAGCTTCTTCTAGCAGCTGTGTTTCATTTCCGCTCGTTCCGCTCGTTCCGCTCGTCCACATCCTTAGCGCCTTATGCTACGATCTTGTGGGGCTGCATCCACTTTTTCATGTAGTAGCAGAACAAGGTGGAGATGTAGAGCAGGATCATGAGAGCACAGGTGACGGCCAAAGCCAGGACCGATGTCTTCGTGGGACACGGCTCAATGATGGTGACAGTCTTGTCTGTTGGAAATGGAACAAGAAAGTACAGTCAACAGGGATTTCAAAAAGCTATAAGAGCCCCCAACGAGCATACCTTTGGCAAAGTCCGTGCTGGGATCAGCCTTGAAGAATTCGCGCTTCTCATCACCAAAGTCCAGAACCAGAATCTCCTGTGAGATGTTCATGTCGTCCTCGCTCTTGGTCTCATTGCTGGAAAATGGGAAATGGAACAGTCCAGATCAAGACACACTCTCAAGATGATAGTTAAGAAGAGCTAACCTTTCGATAGAACGACGACGCCTCCTGCCCAGAGATTCAAAGGACTCCATATTCCATTCGCAAACAGCCGGCTCGCAAGGACCCAGACAGTACTTGACATTGCACTGGAAGATAACGCCATAGCTCTCCGTGAATCGGAAGGCCTCGTACGTCGACTGGAGGGCATTGCCGTCGGCGGTGAAGCCGGGGAAGATGGTGGGATCGGTGGGGCAGCCATCGTCGTCGATGATCTTGAAGCTGGTGCGGGCATCCTTGGCCATGGCCACACAGGAGCGGGCAAAGATTCCATAGGGAGCTGATAATAAAATATAAAAGTTGTAGATGAGGATTCCAAAGAGGTAAGTCCTGTAGTCGTATACTTACTGTCTTCGGGGATCTCGATACGGAAGTTGAGACGATCTCCAATGCGAACAGTTTCCACTTCGCGCTGGCGGGTGTCCAGAATGCGGATCCTTGGTGGCGGTGCCTCGGGGGATGAGTTGATGTGGATCATCTCGGGATCGCGGATGGGCATCATGCCGAAGGTGATGTTCTTGGAGCTCATGTCGTATGTGCACTTGACCTTGTAGATCTTGTCGGCCTTGGTCATGACCACACTGTGATGCTGCAGAACCACCGTGTTCGAGTAGACTCCGGTCTGGAAGGGCAATACGCAGAAGTAAGTCAATCAACAGCCAGGATGAGACTACGATCTGGTACTCACCACACTCTGGGTGTTGCAATCCTGTCCGGCCATGGTCAGGTCCAGGCGGAAGGCATCCGAGTTGATGACATCGATGTTGCAGGTCTCGGAACGGCCCAGAGCGTAGATGCGTCCGTTGAAGGGCTTGTTGGTGCGCACCTGGACAGCGATCCTGGTGTCCTTGCAGTGCACGGAGACTGGAAAGAGGTAACATGGGAATGGTAACGAAATTCAAGCTCGAGAGGAGGAGGGAAACCCACCATCATAGCAGGTGCCGGTCTTGTCGCAGTTGACGTCGTTGCGGGTCAGGTTGGTCAGGTTGGGGTCCTCGATGGTGTCCAGGCTGACGGGCAGGGTGTCGATCTTGTCCAGAGTGCCGGGTGGAGAGCCCGGACCGGAGCCAGGAGCCTTCTCGCACTGGTTCTCAAAGTACTGGCCAATCGGCTCGCCGTGATCGATCAGGGGGCGCTCGTGGTTCAAGTAGGTGGAGGGGCCGTCGGGCAGGGTCTTGTGGTCCAGATGGTAGAGCCGGCAGTTGTACTGAGCACCCTGCGGCTGGCCCAGATACAGGAAGGAGCGGCACAGGAACTCGGACTCGATCTCGCAGGCAAGACGGCAGGCGGACTCGGAGGTGACCTGGAGCTCCTTGTCGGTGTAGTAGTGCAGGCCGACATACTGGGCCACCTTCTCCTCGGAGACGCCCATGCGTTGGGCATTGCCGAAGGAGCGGTTGTTCTTGCAGGCCTGGGCCGGTTTCAGGCAGAGATTCTCAAAGTAATCGGTGCCCTGGGCATCCACCAGCTGGACAAACTGGCCGGAGCTGCGACGATCCGAGTCGCTGAGGACGCACTTCATGTTGTTGTAGTCATACTCCACGGATCGGCAGACGAAGCGCTTCTCGTTGAGGCAGGCGGAGAGGCAGGCCTCCTTGGTGCTGGTGTAGATGAGGGCGTTGTCCAGGCCGCGGATCACCTTGTTGGGCACCCTCTCGAAGCTCCACGGACGGTGGCAGACGTTCTCGCTGCGCAGCTGCAGCTTCACCATGTAGTACATGTTGGCGCTCCTCTGCGGTGCTGCCGATGGATTGGCGGCCGAGGAGTCGTTCTGCAGCTGGCAGTGCGTCTCCTGGGACGGGGACAGGGGGTTAACCACGAAGCTGAAGGCCGCCGCCTGGCAGTCAGCCTCCTCGCGACACCAGCCCTGGCACTCGTAGAGCGATAGGTTCTTCACGCTGTAGTACGTGTTGCCGGGGAAGTCGAAGTCTGTCAGCTTCTCGAAGGCCATCCGGGCGGATACCTGGCCTGGCAGCATCACCACCAGGACGAGAGCGGCGGCAAGGACCACCAGAGGACCCATGCTGAAGCGGTATGTGTGGGTGGATCGATTTCTACTACTCTCGGCTGACTGCATTGCTAGCTGGAAGTAGAGAAGAGGAGAAGAGGTTAGTGGGGGCTTCACTACCAACTGGTAAGGGAATCTTTCTTCGGGAGCTGTGATGAGTGGTACTTCCTCAACCACTTTGTTACTCCGACTTCGTTCCACTTGTCTAACTGCGAAACTGCTGACAGCCAGAAGGAGAAGTAACTCGGTCGGTCTACCATCTGGAGTGGCAGTGGCCACCACTTCCGCCCTTGGCCCAGGCCCATTACACGCTTAACTAAGCACCGAACCACCGAACCAATAAAGACGAGATGGAGTCTCTCTCTGAGCTCCCACATCCCCAACCAGCCTACCAGGCGACTTAATGAGCTGACCAGAAAGGTGGAATGAGGTGGAATCTGTAGATTTGCGGTTGAAGAATCTAACGGCTTCCCATTCCCATTTCCAATTCCAATCTTTAAAGGCTTTTCGGCATTCTTGTGGTTCAGCATTCAGCAGATTGGTTTCTGCGGCCCAGTCCTGACCCAAACCGAGACCCAGACCCGTGTGCAGGTGCCACACTCACTCACTTATGCATGGAGGAGAGTCATTATAGTTATGGCATAACCCCAATACCCAATATAGCCATCATGGCAGTAAGTTATTCATCAAATGGCACACCAATTTGGTTAATTATTTCAAAGACCAGCCCCGAGGATCTTGGGTCATGGATTGTTGGGTTGCATTGCATTTGCATTCATTTCTGGATTGGATTCTGGACTTGGTCTTGCGGAAGCTAATGCTTCCATATATGCCCATCTCTACTCCTTTTTGCTCCCATTTCGAGCATTCGGGGATCCATAGAGGACCCAGCATTTAAGTCAGAATTTATGGGTTTTTAAACGCCCAAGAGCGCCTGGAAATGGTGGAGGAGGACAAGTCGTTCTGGCCCCAAACCAATTATATTTACATATTCAATTCAATTTGTTTTGCCAAGTCCAAGTCCAAGTCTGGGTTCCTCTTGCCATTGCAATTATTTCATGCATACACCGCACCGTCCCCTCGGCACCTGTGATTATAGAGCCACGTTCCGTAGGCCATTACCAGGGATATTAAAACCAGCCCCAATACGAGCTGCAAATGGCCAAAATGCAGACTATATCTGAGAGAGGTATTTCTTTCGGTGTAAAGAATGGTAAACGATAGCCTGGCCATCGAATTCTCTGCGGGCCAGTGCCAAATGTTGTCGGTTGCAGGGCAACATCAGCAGCAACATCAGCAGCAACATCGGCAACATCGACAGCGACAACAAATGTTATTCTGTATGAAATAGGTGGCAAAGACAGCGGAATGCCTGCTGCACGTTGTGCTTGTTGCATGCTGCTTTCGAAGAGACAGCAACAACTGCAGCTCAACGGGAGCCAAATGTGTCGCTAGCACAGCTGCAACTAGCAACTTGCAACTTGCAACTAGCAACTAGCAACTTGCAACTTGTGTTTGCAAATGATATTACTCTGGTTTCTGGGGTTAAGGTTTGTTAAAGAATATCTATAATATTACTATAGGTATATCCTCCTCTAGAAGAATCTTCTTGAAGAATCTTTAGTCTTCGTGATTGGATCGTTAGCTCTACAATTCTACAAGTCCTGAGATGCATTTGAAACCCAAAACGAGGCAGGATCAGGATCAGGAATGAGTACCATCCGCCCTAACCAGAAGCCAATTACAAGGGCCAAGACGATCCAAAGCTAGAGATAAAAAAAAAAAGAAGAGGTTCTGGCCCCTGACGTCACTTTGACTTCGAAGCTTGTTCTTCGTTTTCTTTATTTATTCTTCAGTGGAAGAGGATTCTTCGCAAGAATCGCGCAATTGGCTGGCGCGAACCAGCGATTGCCAGCTCACGAATCTTGTTATTTATAGCCAAGTGGGGTTTATTTTTGGAAGAGGCTCTTCAGGAAACACTGGCGTCCATTTAGCGTCCTTGACCATTTCTAATTTGAGCGTATTATTTTTTCTGGGATTTGCCTACTGTAATTACTAGAAGGGTTCTCATCCCAAGGTTCATGAAGGTCACCAATGCCAATGCCAACTGTTTTTTTTTTTTTTTTTCAGGTAATAATTATATATGAAAGATCGATGGTCAAGAGAGCTTCTCATCATCAGCTGCTGGCTGAGACCATCTCAAATGGTCAGCAAGGGGAGGAGAAGGAGGAGGAGGAGGAGGAGGCGTTCTGACCACTGGTGGCCAGTGGCGCGTACTTGGCTTGGATTTTTGAGTTAACCGGCAAACCCGGTAATCATGAAAATTTGCAGTTACGCTGGGGAAATGGGGAGTACGGAATGGAATCGAATTGGAATCCAAAAGGGAAAGGAGAAGAGGGCTGGGGAGATGGGGAGTTCGGGCCACAAAGGTTATCATTAGGCACGCTCACTTCTTGGCCAACATCATCTTCTTGACCATTCTCTCATATTCTTGTTACTTGTTACCTCTAATTACGCCCCAAAACGAAAGAAAAGAAAAGAAAAAGAAAGACTACGGTAGAAGAATTGCATCATAAGCAGTCTGATCTTCTGTAGAATCGCATAGCCAGTAGAAAGCAAAAGAAGAATCACATCATTAGAGAGAGTGAAGGGGAAAAGGTCAACATCTCTTTAGACCTTTTTTTTTTTCTTTTTTAATGACAAACCTTAGTGAAAGTCGTAAAGTCAATTAGGTCCAATGAGGAAGATTTTCCATTTCTTTCTGGGTTTTTAGTTTTTATTTTCCATAACCAATTAGTTAGTCGGTTATGGAAACAGGAAGCTAGTAAGTGCCAAATAATTGGTCGATTTGCCTGTCTGTCAATCAAATGGTATTTATCATCATATTCCAACTAGACACCAACTGAACCTCAATCCAACACGAAACTCACGAGAGCGAGAATGAATGTCTTTAAGTAGAAGAACCCATTGCCATTCACTTTGCTGGAGTTTGGAGTGCACACGATTCTCTAGTCAAAGTCACCTTCATAATCTTTCGAGATCCAATGATCCGAACATCGAACATCCTAGTCCCAGTCCCAGTCACATTCACATTTCAAGTCACTGTCTTAATACGGTTTGGACCCAAAGTGCCAAGGTGCCAAAGTGTATATGCAAACACACTTGGCCGAAAGGAATTATGAGAAGCGGTTCTTTTGCCTTTCTTCAAGTACCCTTCAAGAATCAAATAAAACCTCATGAGGCTTGTTCTATTTCTTTTATTAAAGGTTTTAGTTTTCTTTTTATGCAAATCTGATAAGAACTCAGGATTTATTTGGCAGATCTGTCTGAAACTTCACACCATCGTGTATTTGGATATAAAAATCTATAAAAATAAGTTTCGCTCTTGAAACCTCGCTGTTTTTATGCAGTTTTACCTAAAAGTCTCTCTATTTTAGGAACTAACCTTAGGAAACTCAAGGGTTACTTGGCAGATCTGTCTGAAATTCAACATAATGATGTATTTTGTTATAAAAATCTATAAAAAATCAATCCCGATCTTTAAATTGCTCTGCTTTCATGCAATTCTCTTAAGAAATCTTCATATTTTGCTACCAACTTCAGATAACTCAGAGGTTATATGGAAGATCTATCTAAAACTCAATAATAAAATATATTTTAAAACAAATATCTATAAAAACTAGTTCCCCCTTTAAAGTTTGTCCTTTTTGAAGCAATTCTCTTAAGAAATCCCTATATTTCAGCTACCAACCTCAGATAACTGAGAGGCTACTTGATGGATCATCCTAAAACTCAACTCTAAGCTATATTTTAATGCAAGTTCTTTAAAAAACCATACCCCCCATGAATTTCACAGTTCTTTTAGAAATTACTTTAAGAAATCCCTGTATTTCAGCTATCAACCTCATATAACTCAAAGTCTACTTGATAGATCATCCTGAAACTCCACACCTAGCTAGATTTCAATGAAAAAATCCATCAAAAATAAACCCTGCCCCCTAAAAAACCCCATCCTTGAGTATAAAACCATAAAAGTATAACCTCTTAGAGTCATGACTCCATTTCAATTTGCTTTTCTTGTTACAAGAATCAGCGGATGTCTGTTTTCAGTTTTTTTTTTTTTTTTTTTTTTTTGTAGCCTTTTAGTGTTTGCCTTGTCCACTCGATCAGTGTTAAAAAAAAAAAAGGTCTTTAAAAAAAAAAATAAAAGGAAATGGGCAGAAAAGGAGAAACCTTTTCATTCAATGCAATTTGTAGTTGTGGTTGTGACAACACGCGAATGGCCCAAAGAAAGAGACAGAGCACACTCAATCACTTGGTAAGGCTAAGGTGGTAAGAAGCATGCCCCTTAGACACTGCCCCTTGGACCCTGCCACTGCCGCATTTCGCAATTATGTAATTTTCAATCATCGCTTGGCTTAAAAGATGCGCAACCTGGCCAACATGGCTCACAAAACGTGAAGCCGACCAAAAGTTGAAGCACCTGCCACCATGAGGCATGCGTGTCTCCCCTCTTTTTAGCTTTTCTTCTTTCTATTTTTTTATATATATATATATATTTTTTTTTTTATAAGTATATGTGTTATATGGCATAGGCATTTTGTTGTAATAGAAGTGCGAAGCAGGCAATAATTGCTATCGAACAATGGCAGGGAACTCTCCGCCACCAGTTGCCACTTTTCTCAGGCTGGCTTTTCAGTTCTCAGGTGGTGGTCAGACGTGCATTCTGGCCATGAGCTTCCGAGCTCTCCTGCCTTCTAAACGAAAAAAAAAATAATAAAAGTTATAATTAAAAAAAAAAAGAAAAACGCTGGCCAGATGGGCAACTTAAATTAAATGGAACGCTAGATCAAAAGTATCTGAGTGAGAGAAAATTGCCTTTGAAAGAGATACTTTTAATTTGGAGCAGGTATATGGCATCTAGATACATCCAGGTATCTGGTATTCCAGGTGCAGTGGCACATCAGGCGCCATCTATTAGGCCATGCATGTACTATTAAGAACCGTTACAAAATCTAACCAGGTTGACACCCACTTAGTGGCAGGGGGGACTCCAAGGAGGAGTTACTACATAT